CTGGTGCGATGGGGTGGGGAAGGGAGGGACTGCGCTGCGGTGGAGATGTGGGATGTTGTCCCCCTGGGGATCAGCTGGGGACCCAGCTGAGGGTCCCGGTGGCCCAGGGAGGGGCCTTGTCCCCGCGGCTGCTGCAGCTCGTGCATTTGCAGGCAAGGACAGCCCATGTACTCCATCCCCCCCGGCGGCTTTCGGCACCCCTACCCTGCCCTCGCCATGAACGCCTCCATGTCCAGGTGGGTCCCAGTGTCCTGCTGGGTTCTGATGGGTCCCCGTGTCCAGGTGGGCCCCTGTGTCCTCGTGGATCCCCACGTCCCCGTGTGTCCCCATGGCTGGGTGGCTCTGAACAGGGACAAGGGACCTCCTCAGGCATTTCTGAGCTGGCTCACAGTTTTGGCCACATCCCATGGCGCTGACCTCCCTGACCTGTGTGTGGGTGAGACCAGCCTTGAGTGACCGCAGTGGCCCACGCTGGCCAAAAACAGCCCCACAGTGACTCTCTGGGTACAGAGCGATGTCCCCTGGCTCCACTGTGCCACGTGCCAAGCTCAGCTGCAAAGCAGTCCCCAGCAGGTCGGGGTTGAGGATCTCTAATCCTGGGAGGTCCTCAGGATTTGGGGTGACATTCGGGGCCGTTGGTGCCTGTTTGGGGCTGACAACTTTGCTCCCTCCACTGCAGCCTGATGTCCAGCCGCTTCTCCCCACACATGGTCCCACCGCCCACCCACGGGCTGCACCCCTCAGGCATCCCACACCCCACCATCGTCTCACCCATTGTGAAGCAGGAGCCAGCCCAGCCCAGTGCCAGCCCCGGCAGCAGCTCGTGAGTGGGGACCTGTCGGGGGGAGAGGCCTTGGGGATGGGGACAAGGTGGGGACAGAATGGGATGGGGATGCGGATGGGAGTGGGGATGGGATGAGGGTAAGAATGAGGGGGAGGTTAAAGGTGAGGATGGGATGGCATGGTGATGGGGATGGGGATGAAGATGATAATGAGGATGAGGATGGGATGGGGTGGAACAGGAATGGGGATGGAATGGGATGGGAACAGGGACATGAGTGAGGATGGGATGGGATGGGATGGGATGGGATGGGATGGGATGGGATGGGATGGGATGGGATGGGATGGGATGGG